TGGGGGGGGGGGGTGGGGGGGGGGGGAAGAATAGAAAACCTTTTTCACGTCGATAAATTGCTGTGTTCTTCAATCGCCTTCATCTTAATTATCAATGCTTTTTCTTAAGTCGCAAGACTACTCGAATGGAACACTCACCAGGTGACATCCGCGTGGGCCGTATCGGCCGTCTTGCTTTGGTTTTGATTGCCAACGGTTCCCATGATGCCGAATGCGAAAGACGCTTTTTTTGAACTCCATTAGTTAGTTGCAGCAGTTCTCCGAACCTTTTGCGAGGTCGTTAAGCTAAGTCAATCGTCAATCGTCGAGACAAAAATTCCAACAAAAAAAATCCCAAGGAAAAGAAGAGAGGATTACAGAGACGCCAATCTTCAAGCGAAGGCGAGGAAACCAGAATAGCCTCAACGTCTCCAGGATAATGACTGGATTGCGGCGTGAACGCACCGTAAAAAGAAAAAATATACTAGGTACCGACCCAAGTAGCCATAGGTGATCCAAAACTCGTCCATGGACAGTCCAGTTGTCCAGAGATGGGTATAAGTCCAGAGGCGGTCGTCCTTTGGATGAACAAGAGGATGCCATCGCCATGGATCGATTTCTCATGCAATCTGAGCTTCATTCGAGCAGAATGTAGTACATTGAACACTCACCCAAACCCGAGTACATTGAACACTCACCCAAACAGCATGTGTATGTTAATTTTACGTAAAATTAATGCAAATATTTTTTCCATTTTCTATCATTTTTACGCAAACCATTGTCAAGAAAATGTCAACATGTTTGCAGAAATATCACCTCTATGATACATACACGGTGATATAAAATTAACGTAAATCTTACGTAAAATTGACATTCCCGTTTGCATTCCAAACAGCATGTTTCCATTCATTTTACGTAAAATTGATGTTAATTTCCCACTAACATTCATCCGTATGAGTCATATCCTGAGTCATATATAAGATATTATCGAGACGAAACTCTGAACTTCCTCGTCTTTATCTCTCCAAGCAAGACACAGTTTATCCATTCCAAAGGCGACGTGACCCGCATAAAAAAAGGAATNTTTGCATTCCAAACAGCATGTTTCCATTCATTTTACGTAAAATTGATGTTAATTTCCCACTAACATTCATCCGTATGAGTCATATCCTGAGTCATATATTATAAATATATAATAATTTCATGTTTTCCATATATATATTCATGGATTGCATAATAAAAAGTAGAAGGATGGTAAGAAAAAACAGATACTAGATCAGGAAAACCAGTACTTAATAGTAATTGTAGGATGCAGGGAACAAAGGTTCCATCTAGTGAGGAATCTTGGTACTGCAACTGCAGGATGGCCAGCTAAAGTTTCATATGGAAGGTGTGGTGTTAATTTTTCATAAATTTGATATCATTTACCTCACGTCAAATGGAGTGACGTCTAGTTGATGTAAAATACACGTACACTTTGGTGACGTAAATATAGGAACGTAAATTTTACGTAAACATGATGTCATTTTCATGGCAATCGCAAGAAATTTACATTGCTTGCAAAAAATTGATATCTTGTTTACGTGAACATGCTGCTTGGGCAGTTATGTCCCCTTCATTGAATGATGCTTTTACAGAATGGCGTTATGAGCGTCCGATCATGGGATTTATTTTGCTCTTTTTTTTTTCTTCTAATCTCCCATCTTAAGTCGCAACGCAGTAATTTCAATCACCATATAGATGGTGTGACATAATTGCACCAGTGCATGCTTTCATTTAGATTTCGACATTACGGAACACGAAACAATGCGTCAGTCCTTCTTAGGGCATCCATTGGACATCCAGCAAAGGAACTTCCAAGGACAACTTCTTACGTTCTTCTATTGGATGTCCTTGTATGGAATCCCCCCAATCCCCCATTGAGGCCTTCCATCTCCCCTGACATCTAGCGGTTCACTCGATAAATATAAAGTTCCCATAATGTAAGTGAGGTCGCGACCGTCCCGTCGCAGTATGCCTCCCGATTCCCTAAATTCCTAACGAATTGTTCTGCGGATGCTTTCATCCTCTACTCGATAATTTCCCACGTACAGGCCTAAGGAAGGAAGCCGTTCTATTTAATTCATCTGTTGAGAGACGTAATATACCTCAAGGAGACTCCGGCAATTCTTGCACATCGTGTGGAGAGAGTGAAAGAAACCTTACCAAGAAAGTCTATTCCTTTTTTTATGCGGGTCACGTCGCCTTTGGAATGGATAAACTGTGTCTTGCTTGGAGAGATAAAGACGAGGAAGTTCAGAGTTTCGTCTCGATAATATCTTATATTGCATCTTGACACGTCATCCGATAGTTTTCCCATAGGGAATCTCCAATAGATCCAAAAAAAAGGACAACCATGGACCATGGACCATGACCAAGGGTTATCCTTGGACGAGACATTTCGTCATCCTGCCTATGTCTGGGGAGGAAATACCACTTACAGTTTTTCCCGATTGCTTACGTCCGTTTCTCGAAACTATACTTCCGTTTTCAAAACTCTGCAAACTTTTCACAAAACTTAACAGCCGATTTCATTGCTACCGTACGAAAAGCGAAACACAAAGTGCGATTTTCATATCTTTACGTACCTTTTTCGAAACGAAATGGATAAGAAGACCGATTCGACGAGTGCGGACGACGGATGCACGGCTGACGACGGCCATCTCTATCCTCCGAAATTCCTTCCAGCCAATCACAGAGGATTTCTCATCGTCCACGGTTGTCAGAGCTGAATGCTCCCTCTCAAACGTTGAAATAGTTTCTTACGTCGATACAGCAATGTAGTCGGCAGACAATAATGCTGACTTATTCAGAAAATCCAGAATACCTAATCCCGAGTATTTACTTACGATTAATTCCTGTTACAACATAATCAGCTAAAAAGGGTTGGAAAGAGAGAAAAGAGGTCATTTCATGGTCATTTTTGTTGGTCATAAGTTACAAAATTGTTATGGCCTTGGGACCCATTTTTGTTCGCAGATATTCACTGGGAAAATCTCATGTTATGATCTCCAAATCTTTCCAACTTATGCTCGCTCTATTGAGATTCATTCTATTGAGTCTCGTTGAGGGGTTTTCGACCGGATCCAACGCCCTGCACCCTTTTGAATGACGGCACAAGTCAAGTGACTTCTCAAAATAACAGTCTGACCTTATTAGGGTGTGGGGAGACAGTAATTCAACGTTCAACGAAGGCGAGAGGGGAAGAATGGGAAAGGGGGGGGGGGGGTGTGGAGTTTTTGTGCTTTCAAGCGTCACCTCGTCCATATATTCACGCGAAATAATCTCAATGGGCGGTTTGATGATTTTTACCGGAAGAAATCTATGCTGGTTTGATCCTGGTCGATCGCTGTTGAAACACCCGCCGTATCCACATCCACCCAACGACCGAGCCTAGATTGTATAAATTGTCAGAGTAGAAGTTGAGGACAAGAGGATAAGTCCTCATGGTATGATCCGCAAAATATTTTACGAACAACAAATATCACGGAGAAACGACGTCAGTGTATTGACACGAGTACATCGTCGGCCAGATATAGCGCCATCAATTATATTTAAAATTGTCATACGGCATACGTGCCAAACGTCCTTCGCCGAAACATATTTCCCAATATTGCTGGTGTCCTTCAGAACGAATTTAATGCCCTCGCCTCAAACCTTAACGTCCTTGCCTCAAAAAGTAACGTACGCTCCATTGAAAGACATCGGGGAGGTTCCGGTCGACTCGACCGGGAACGGCTGACAGGGCGAGCATCGATCCGCGAGGCTCTTCGCCTTCCCATTCGCAGTAATGGATCGTCCAGAGAGTTTTGCCGAAGGTGCGTTAAGTTTTGACTCCAGGTACGTGAGAAATCGATCGCAGGACGTTCTGCTTCGACTTGTGGGGAGCGGAAATCGAATCTCGACAACAGTCTGTACGGTTTCGGCACGGGTACGTTAACTTCTGAAAGTCATCATTCATCGAGAAATCGCCAATACGAGGGCATCGTGCATTACCCTAGCCTATAGTTGCGAGAATCTCACATGGTTTTTTTTTTTGGATCCCGTACGTCCAACGCGGAGTCTCGATGGCGAAAATCGAAGCGGATCGTGAATGTACTTGTAATATTAAGCTCGAAAAAAAGACTCTGGACTCCAGAAGACTTCGTAACCCTGTGAAAAGAAGTTTCTTTGATGCGAAAGCTAAGAATTTTTATCTATCATTATAAATTGCGTCTATTGGGGCTTACAATTCGTTATAGTGGATTTCTTTTCATTTCCATACTAGAAGCAGTGACATACACGTGTATACGTATTATATAATATACACGTGTATGTCACGGTTCAGGAGAGTTGGAGTTTTCCCCTCGGTCACACATGATCCTCTTTTTATATTCTTTCTGTATGATACATAAGCGAGAAATCTATAAGGAGGAATACTAAAAGTACCGAACTATGCATTTTATCGCATGACATTAATTTGAGTTTCAAAAATAAGAGAAACCGGCTGAAGGGTTCTATATTGCTATTTCTGCTTCTATTCCGTCCCCCTATAGAGATATTGTACCCGGAATGCATACTGAGATTAGGGGAATCTTCAGAAGAATTATTTTCACGGTCTCTTGTTGGCTGTCCCTAGACATTCCTTATCTCGCTCGTTAGAATGTTGAAGAGACTAGTTGACTTTGATAAAGGGACGCCCTCTTGACTGTCGGACATGGATGTGAGAAAAGAGCGCAGAGTTTTGCGGATCGTACGTTAAGTTTTCAAAAATGTCCATCAAGATGTGAAACAGGGCTCTAGCAATTGGGAAAAACTGCAATCTCTCTTGCCTATAATGCACCGCAAGCATCGATGAATTCTCTTATCCTGTATATGGAGAGTATTAACACATGTTTGAGATGATGGGAATCGCAAGGCTCTTATCTCGTTTCACTCCTCCATTGCAGATATAAGCGAACCAACAACAAATTTTCTTTGCCAAGCATTCAACAAATAGAATAGTGGGAGCACAGAGTCGGTACTGCGAGGGCGTGTCTGATTCCTCTCGAGTTCGCGGTACATTCTGAGGTATTTTCCGGTGAAGGAACCGACGCAGCTGCCCCCTTTCCGACATGAGCGTTGCTGGTGAGTCCCCCTGTCAAGTTTTTTTTACCTTTGTTTTGACTTTCTCTCTCGGAAGAACGGCATCACGTGAAGCAACGCATCCGGTGGAATCGCATCCTTCCCCGTGAGAACTTCACCGAAAGCCCTAATCGCATAAAATAAGACAGCTAGACGAATGGATTCCTTTCCCCCCCCCCCCCAATGTTTAGATTTCCAACCCGACCCCACGTCTGCCTTGCCCCTCCCACCGCTTCCACTTCATGATTCATCCCCAATAATCGCTGAAGAAATACATATTTAAAAGAAGAAGAAATAAATATAAGACACTTCGGAAGCCACGACGCAAGCACAATAGAATGCATTTGTCGATCCTCGAATACCCCCCCCCCCCGTCGCTGACTGTCAGTGTCGTGCAATCTCCCCTCCCAATTCCCTCCTCTCAGCCGCCCGAATGGAACAAGAGCAGCGCCCTCTTCGCCCGTCCGATTCGCAGCATCCACGCGACAGGGCGTCCGGTCGTCGTGATTTGGCGATCTGCTCCAGACTAAAGGGCCATGCACACCGACTGCGAAGAATTGCGTTGCGACCGCTGCAGTTCCTTGCAATCCACCGAATCAGACGGGTCAATTCCTGTCGCATCCAAGCCGTGGTTCGTGCTGCGTTACAATCGACTGCAAGTTATCAAATCCTTGGATGCACAATATGAGTAGTTTGGCGGCATATTTGGCGGAATAACTTCGACGGTAGGTGATGCCAATCATTACAGTTCATTCTCTATGAGCGAGATACATTGCTATAGTAGTCAAAGATCCTAGAAAGGTCTCGATATCAATTATATTCCTGATTTTGTTTTCCATTGTTTCAGTTCCTGAAATTTAATTAAAATTTTTTAAGTTGAGAAGTACAACTTCGAGTGCAAAACCTTGAGTCGTCCACTCCTTCAGGAGAGTGCTATATGATTTGTACGTATTTGAGTGAGAGAGGGAACGCCATCATCTAAGCAACATGAATCTTTCGCATTAGTATGCCAATTCCCCCCCCCCCCCCCTCTCTCGCCCGAGGCGTTCGGACCCGAAGGTCCCCCCAGCAGTGGAAGCATTTCTCCTGCTCATAAAATTATTTTCGCGAGCAGCAACAGTCGAGCTCGGTTTCTATCAGTCAAGGAATGAGAAAGGTATTCATCATTATTTCTTTTTATTACCCCCATCAGCGACACCCTCAACCTCGAGTCCGAGCCAGGGACAAGAGCCAGACGGACGCAAGACGACCTAATATGCAGCCGATCGGATGATCTCTAAACGATTCCTCTCCCTCTCTCTCGTGACCTCCAGGGAAGTACAAGAAGGCGGCGAAATGGGTGGCGCCGAAGAAAGAGAATGGCAAACCCGTATTCCCGGAAGGAATCGTGATGGGCGGGATGACAGCCGACGGCGAGACGCTCTACGTGGCCAGGGCCGAGCACAATGGCGACCTCCTGCCCGGCAAGCTCCACCCGTCCCACTTCGTCTGCTATGTCGCGTATAACGGGAAGGAGCATCCCAAGGAAACCTATCAGGTGAGAGGTTGACGCCTGCAACGCATATTTTTTTCTTGAGAGCAAGATATGACAAATGAATTAGGAGTTAGATATTCCTTCCCTATGCGTTGTATTATTTACTGTTACAGTTAACGCCCAATCGCAATTGTCAATACCTCTCTGATGATAGGTGGTGTATGGAGAGGGAGTAGGGGCCTCGATTTGCTACTCGTATTGCTAATAATGTGGTATATAAGAACTATTGAGTAATTTTTACAACTTTCAAAATTATTCTTAGGATGAGAATTATATTTAACTATGTGTTAAGGTTAAAATGCAATTGAAAACAATTTAATTAGGCAATGTAAGAAAGAAACACTTATGCTTCTACCAACGGCAGATAGAACTTGGAGGCTGATCGGTCATGTGTTGTGCCTCGAGATCGGACCTGAATGTCGTTGGAACGGCGAAACGAAAGGATTTTTAAAAAAAATATGCATCTGCTTTCTGTCGGACGTCCTCAGGTGCTGGTGAATCCCGCCAAGAGCAACCTGGACTGGGTGGCGGCCTCCGGGGGGTCGGTCCCGGCGGGAGCTCTGCAAGGAGGACGCACGGCCGAGGGGGAGGCGCTCTTCATCGGCAGGTGCAAGCACGGGGATGATCTCGTCTGCGGGAAGGTAAGTCGCGAGCTACGGTTTCGTCCATGGAGAGGGGGAGGGAGTTTCGTTGAACTGTCCTTTTATTCAATGCCTTCACGGAAAGTTATGAGGGGTTAGAGTTCATAGTCCTTTGAAAGACTATTAACTCTAACCCTAATCGGCGCCGAAAGACATGAAAAGATGTCATGTACTGAAGGGGTTTTCCCAACATTCATGATTACTCCTTGGATGCGCTCTTTTTTTCCACCTCATCGCTCATATCCTTCTCTGAAGCGTTCTTTGGGTTGCCACCTTAACCGTTTCTTGGCAGCCTTTTCAAAGTCCTTTCCGTCATCATATCGATTCCACGAAGGTCATCTTCGATTTGGCGTACGGAGAAAAGTCGCCGGGGTCCAAGTCTGGTGCACGGAGAGGATTCGGTCGAACTTGACATCCTGATTCGTGAATTCGCGGAGCGATCGGGTCGCCGTCCACCCAGGGAATCATGCCTCGCTGTAACTTCTTCGATGTCTTTGGAGGTTTTGTTCGGGAATGGAGGAGCGGGGTTCAGGCCACACCAGACTCGGACCGCGGCGAATTCCTATCGTGTTGCAAGGTGATTCTGGAACGCGACGGAGAGTGCTTGGGCCGTGCTAACAGATCGAGGAGCAAGTTAACAAATGCTACAAAGAGGTAAATGAGAAATGAGAGAAAAGATAAAAGAAAGGATGTGGGGCTCTCGATTTCATCTTTGATGGGATCGCGTCGACGACAAGATGACACTTGGACCGCGAGTCCCAGCCAAGATCACCCATCGATTGGACCCCGCTTGAGACTCCGGCGGTTAGGATAACTGATGTCTCCGCGCTTGGACACGACTTTGGTTGTTCCCCTTAGGTGCACCCGAGCCACGGGGTGTGTTACATCTCGTACGCTGGAAAAGAGCATCATTACCAGGACTACGAAGTCCTCGTGGTGAAGACCGTCGACCTCAAGTGATCTCGACGATCCATTCGTTCGCGTCATCTATACATACTCGCTTTGGTGTGCCACGGACCCGAGTTGTCGCTTTTGGAAACGCATTTGTTGCATTTGCATGCATATTACAAATGTATTTGTTGCACGTAGGTATTCATATGCTGATGGGGTTGGTGTCGTCTTGTTGCTACGAGTGGCGATTCCTCCATTCCGAAGGTGGATGGTCATCGAAAGTGTGGAATCCTCACTTGGTGTCATTGTATCCCGAGCTTGTGTTGCCTGTACTGGACAGATGATCATACTTTCTGTATTCGTTCCATGTCGTTATAATTAATACCGGAGTACATCACTTGAATTGCACATTCCTGGACGTTATCCCCATTTGATGGTTTAAAGACAGCAATCAGAGAAGAGACGATCATTAGGGTCACCTCTCATGATGATACTGATGGCCATCACTCCCCTTTTAGTGGCACTGGCTTGGCAGTAGGGGACGTTCTTGCAGTTCTTTAGAGATACTTTCGTTTAAATATTATTGTTACGTTTCAAGGAGTTTATTGTTATTATTTTAGGCTCTGAGATTCAGAGACAGGCCAAACGAAGCCCCCTCCCCAAACAATTTGGGCCGTTCAATATCCGTTACGTTTTCATACATGCCTCATAGGTGTCTTGTTACAAGGTGGAACTACCACTTAGGGTCATAGTTTCAAAGGGCTACTAACTTCAGTAGTGACTAGCTTTTAGTAGCTACTAGCTAGTAGCTACTATTTATATTTTATTATTTTCATTTTCATTTTCAAAGACTCACTAACTTCTGACTTGTTAGCAGCTACTAATCTAGTAGCGTTTGGGCAAGGAATATATTTGGCAACACTGCGAGCGAAATTTTCAAATGTCAGCCTCCATGGTGGAGAATGGCATCTTTTCGGAGTAGATTTTTTCATATGTCCAATGTTGCTAATGAATGAATAACGGAATAAGTATGACTCATTTCAAGGTTCGGATAAATACGTCAAAAGGCATATTTTTCCTTCATAACACCTTGTGCCAGGGTTGACCAATCATCTCTTTGCAATCAGGGAATAACGGGATGATTATGAGTGTTACTAAAAGTCCAAATCGGGGAACTGGTGCGTTGAAGAGAAGGAGCTCTTTCGGTCTGTTGTGCATTGCGGCCTTTTCTGTCATAGGAAATAGACATTCAAACCAATGCAAGGAAAATGATGGCTTCGAGAAAGTTTTGCAAAGATTTCATCATCGTTTTGGCTAGAAGAGAGACATGAATCGCCACATAATGAGCAATAACGAATGAATGAACGGTGATGCAAAGGGAAAGGTTTCGAAGTACAGGAAAGAATTCAAGAAAACTGGTGGTGGGTCTCCACCTCACCCACCCTCAGAGTATACTAACAAGGGACACTACCGAAGTGATAATTTCAGATTTTCACCAAACTTTGGTCAACGAAAGGACAAAACGGAGTCAAATGGCACCAAAACTTGCGGCTGAGATGCCGATATAGGGCGCTGATATCGACAGCAGTGCTGCATATCTACTTGCTAAGTCATGTTTTAGGCATAGGAAAAAATCCGTTCAGGCCTATAAATCTCTATGCCAAATACCAGTCCTTTCAAAAGATATGGTCAAACAAAGTTGGATTTTGACTTGTAAAAATTTAACTTGGTTTGGTCATATCTTTCATTTGAATAGTCAGATACAGATGATTCTTGACAGAGATATTCTTGTGTCTATGACCTCCTCGTTCCCCTGCCCAACACATACTTGTACACATTGACAGAGGGTGCAGTGATTGCATATGCGAAGGTGAAATGCGAAAGAGTACGATGACTCTGCTTACAGAGTTTCTATGTTGGTAATACGTCATAACAACACATCAACGTGACATGTTAGTGCACTGAGAGTTTCACCAACTCTTGGTGGGAGTGATGTGAATGCAAGACGTATTCCTGTTTTTGTAGCCAATTCCTAATCTCCATCTCTTACCTTTGCTTTTGCTACCACAGCGCCACCTATCAACATGTAGAACCATGTGCCGGGTAAGGAAACGAATAAGTCGTGGACCCTTGAACATCTCTGTTAAGCATCAGCTGCTCTGACGATTCCTTAAAAAGTTGACCAAACAAAATTCAACTGTTACATGTTACCATTCAACTTTGACCATATCTTTTGAAAGAACTCTCAGATGCAGCTGATATTTGGCATAAAGATTTAGAGGCCTGAACTGATTTTTTCCCATGCCTAAAAAAATGACTTAGCAAGCAGATAGATGGTGCTGCTGTCGACATCAGCGCCCTATATCGGCATGCAGCGACATCTTGCAGCAAGAAAAAAAACCTCATTGGCTCATGAACCTCTCTGTCAAGTATCGTCAGAAAATGACTTTCCCTTGAAAAGTTATTGCCAATGAAAATAGGACGGTGACTCTAATAATCCTGTCTCACTGAAAATTAAGATAGCCAAATATGAGCCTAAACCTTTTTCTCAGCTGCAAGCTTTGGTGCCATTTGACTTCGTTTTGAGAGTCCTTTCAATGACTTTAAAGTTTGGTGAAAATCTGAAATTATCACTTCGGTAGTGTCCCTTGTAAGTAATGGTAGATACCTTGCCACATGAATTTGACAATCCTGTGAACGTGTTTCAAGAATGATGTGATCATGGATGATCTCACCACCGATGATGTGCACAGAAAGGAATAGTTTATTTTTTTGCCGGCAGAACGAATGCTCCTGAAGCATTCTTGCACATGGATTTGTATAAGAGAGAGCACAAGCGTCGAATGGAAATTATGGAAGAACGTGGAAAGAAGATGGACATTTTACATCTTGAAAAAAGTCCTGGGAACAAAAGATTCTGGGGATGCAGACAGAGAACATTGGAAAATCTTCAAGCGTATTCAATCAGATCAATGCCATGAATTTTCATTTTTTTTAGAACACATGGGGCTCCCATGGTACAAATATGTATATTCTTGGCCTGTAATGATTTGATGGATCAAGTTTTTCTGCATCAATCGCATGCGAGACGTACATAACTGACAGACTGAGAATTAGTAGCCTTTTAAACAACCCTCCAACGCCTACTAAAATTGTATTACGTTTAGTAGCTATTTAGTAGCTACTAGCGCTTAGTATCTCTTTGAAAATACCATTTTAGTCACGACTAGAGGTAGTAGAAACTTAGGAGCTACAAACTTGTTAGTATCCCTTTGAAAATATGACCCTTAGTCTCTCTTCCCTATAATGGACCGCAAGCATCGATGAATTCTCTTATCTTGTATCTGTAGAGTATCGGCCCATATTATTGATCATGGGAATCCCAAGGCTCTTTCTCGTTTCATTCCTCCATTGCAGATATAAGCGAACCAACAACAAATTTTCTTTCACAAGCATTCAACTAAAACAATTAAACACAAATTAACAATTAAAATAGTGGGAGCACACAGTCGGTGCGACGCACAGAGTCGGTACTGCGAGGGCGTGTCTGATTCCTCTCGAGTTCGCGGTACATTCTGAGGTATTTTCCGGTGAAGGAACCGACGCACCTGCCCCCTTTTCGACATAAGCGATTTTAGTGAGTGTAGTTTGGCTGCTCTTTTGGCGGAATAGCTTCGACGGTAGATGATGCCAATCATCACCATTCATCCTCCATGGGCGAGATACAAAGCTATAGTAGTTAAAGATCCAAGAAAGGTCTCGACGATATCAATCATGTTCCTGATTTTTTCACCATTTCTCCACCGAATTTCGAACGATCTTCAGCCATGCATCGTTCCACGACAAGCCCAGTGGAAGCAACCCGCACAGGAAGGCATCGAAGCGTTCAGGGCCTCAGCGATCTCAACTTTGGCTTTCGCGGACCGAAGTATGCGTCGCGCGTCCGAGGATTTCACGAGGTGACGAACTCTCATCTACTTTGTGCATCTTCAGGATCGTGTGCAATAAATGCAACGGCTTCATCCAGAGTTCGCGTAGTTTCATTCGGGATGGTCCGAGAAAAATCTTTTCAACGATACATGGCTACCATCAAAACAACAATTCACGGCCAAGAAGTCCGATTATCTCATGCGATACACGTAAGAGCTAAATCCCGACGTAGAGCTTCTCTAGCTCTACGTCGGGAGGAGGAAGCAGTAGGACACTTTAGTACTCTTGAATGCTGGTGAGAATGAGTACTCGTGTACTCGTCCAACCACCCTAGGGTTCTGAAGAACGTAAAGGAATAAGA